GTTTGCTATTCCGTGGCTCAGTCAAGTCCATCAGTTCCATAGATGTTGTTCACAACTATTATTCTCCACTTAAGTGAATTCCTCATCAGGTGAGTACTGCATGTAGTACCCCTAATCTTCAGCAATTAATTAGACATTTTATATTTTAAAAAAACCTCACAGTTATACAATAGGGAAACTTTATTCGGTAACATTTTAAAAGTAAAGAACTTGGTACTTAAATTTATCTCAAGTTCATTATAATTCCTGTAGAAAAAACAACAAAGGGTGTAATTTAGGGAACATTGCAGGATGTTTGCTGTCCAAATAAGAACTTCAGTAACCACTAGCTACCAGTAACAACTAGGCATTCACTGCAGTCCGTGCTGCCCAGATATTTTCTACAGTTAGTGCACCTGGTTTGTACAGCAGGGTAAAACTAGCTGCTGGATTTCAGTGCTGAGAGGCAGCTCTCTTACAATAGAACTACACGTAAATTTTGTGAAATAAGTTTTCACAACAATTATGTTTTGTGAGAAGCCAAAAGGAATATCAAGGCTAGGCCATGGAGTCTGGGCCAGCTCTCGAGGGGAAAGCGACCACAGAGCAGAGGTTTTAAGTTGGAGCTGTTACTCTGTTTCACTCAGTTTCTTCAGTATAAACTCTACATTGTTGTTTGAAGCTTTAATGAAATTTGGGGTGTGTATATGTGTATAAAATAGGGTGAACAAAAGATATGACATTTAAATTTTATTACAGTAAAAGACATTGCCATAAATTCCTCTAAAAATATTCTTCCTTCAAACACACCCCACTGTTCTTGCTACTTTTTTTAATTTTAAATTTTTAGTAACACATTTACAGTGTGTCATGAGGATGTCCATCGTGGAGAGTTGGTGCACCTCATCTCTTCTTTCTTTCCTTCCCTTGCTCTCCCTGTCTGGCCTCTTTCTGCAGTAGTTCTGGAAGTCCTCTTTCAGTCTTTCCAAGGTGTGATAAAAAATAGGTGAGTACTGCTGTCAAGTGCCAGCCAACAGAAAGGCAGGCTCATGAAAACGTGACCATGTGTCCTTGTGTACCTTATTAATGGATCTGGCACCATGGAACCTCCCCAAAGTCAAAATGACAAGGCAAGGTAAACAGTTTGAATTGATTCGGGGCATTGCAATAAGTTGGGCATTGCCTCTAAAGATGCACAATAAAAGGTCTCCAGGACTGCTTCAGAAAGCAGCATGAACAATGGGATGAGCACTTGGGGGGTGGGGGTGGGGGGTTGAGGGAGATTAATGGCAGAGTGCCTTTTACTGTAATAGAGTTGGTTTTTTGGTTTTTGGTTTTTGTAAGTGCTGGGGATGGAACTCAGGACCGTGTGCTTGCTAGGCAAGCACTTATTTTACTGAGCTCTCTCCCCGGCCCTGTAATACAGTTTTGAAAATTTAAATGTTCACTATATTTTTCAGTCATATCTCTTATGTATGGGACAGACTAGCACATAATAGTCACTGAAAACAAGTATGGAATACAGTCAGCTGTCTGTATACCTAGGTTCAATTAACCACACATTGAAAATTCTTGAAAAAGGGCCAGCCAAATAGCTCAGTTGATTTAAGCGCCCGGTTAGGCAGAGTGCAGCAGCCCAGCTGGTTTGATTCCCCACCCCCCAGACCCACCTCTGGGGTGCCTGTAATCCCAGCTGTAGGGAGGCCGAACACAGGTGGACCGCTACCCTGTAGACCCTTACCAAAAAAAAGAAAATATTTGAAAGAAAGTTGTGTTTATATTGAACATATACAGACTTTTTTTTTTCATTATTCCCTAAGCAGTACAGTATAGCACATTTACATGGCATTCATTTTGTATTAGGAATTATATTTATCCAGAGATGATTTAAAATATACTCAAGGAGCCAGCTATGGTGGCACATGCCTGTAATCCAAGCATTTGAGAAACTGAGTCAGAAGGATTGCTGGAAGTCTGAGGCTAGCCTGGGTTGTGCAGTGAGATCCTATCTCAAAAAACAAAACAAAAAATTAAAAATACAGGCAGATAAATGCAAACACTATGCCATTTTACGTTAGGGGCTTGAGCATCCATGGGTGGGGAGGGGTGATCCAGGAACCATTGCCCTGTGCCCATTAAAGAACATCTGTACATCTATTTTGCCATGCTAATAGAGTTGGTCTAGAGAGCAGAATTTTCTCAGTGGAGGGAAACCTGTATGCCAAAGCCAGGTGGTGGAGTTACACAGTGTTAAATCCGGTTGGAATGTAGAGTGCATGTGGAAGGAGTGGCTGAAGGTCAAGCTGGGAAGGGAAGTAGGGTGAGATCTTCCAATGGAACTTTCCCATTTTTGAGATTCGGAGAGCTACTTGAGAAGTGTGGAGTCTTTGCAGGCATTGTCTAGAATGGTTTTGCCAGTTAAGGGACTTGTTTGTGGCACCTGTGTGGAGTAGCTGGGAAAATTGATTAGAGCTAGGATGTCCAGTATGTGCGGTGGGGCTCACCCTGACTGCACATTGGAACTGAACATTAATGGATTTCTCTCACTCAGGCTCACCTCACACTCGGGCATCACTGACTTGGGGGCTCCAAATTCAGGTGCCAGCAGCATTAAGCAGAATGCAGTGCACCAGTGACTGCTTCTGGGTGGATCACTGAACGGATGATCATGTAGCACAGCTCAGTTATGTATGAGAGTGAGAACCTGAAGAAGCAGGCTGGAGCACAGGCTTTGCTAGGCAGGATCAAGAAGAATAAGTTCTGTTTCAGCATGGAATTTGAGGGAAAAATTGGCAGAGAGTATGAAGGGAAGGGGCTGGAGGAATAGTTGAAAATTTAAAAGACAGAGTCTGATAGTAGATCACTGATTAAGATCCGTTAGGAGCCAGAAATTCCAGAGCAAAGGTGGAAGAAATCATTTATAAGAGAATGAGTGACTTTGCATTCAGAGAGAAAGAAGTAAAATCAGTGAGGGTGTGAATAAATTCACAGTTTAAGGATTAGTTTTGCCTGGTGGCCTGATTTCCTTACTTTGGGTGATAGGAGCATCTGCTGAGAATTAAGAGGTAAGAAAAGGAGATGAAGGAGTGGGTCAAGCTTTGGAAGCCAAAGGAGCAGGCTGAGACATAGATGCCTGGTGAGGCTGGCTCTTAAGCACTGGTTTCAGTTGTTGGCCCTCTTTCATGTGGGCCCTAAGCAACCTCCTGGAATTGCTGATATCTTCTAGAAGAAACACTCATAAGTTGAAATTTGTCTGGGGGAGTTCACTAGCTGATATTGCTGTCGTGTAGAAAATAATTGATTGACTTTTTACTTTGGGTAAATTTTCTTGATATCACTTTACTATGTTAATTTGAAAGAGTCCACATTATTTCTCTGGTGTAAGAACTGAAAGGGTAAATAAGGATCAAAATGTATGAGGGGAAGGGAAAAGCAAGGAAGGGAAAATACAAATAGACTAGAAAAGAAAAAATAGAAACAAAACTTTTGTAAATGAGGGGAAGATATTGGGGGAAAGAATCAAGATATATGGTATACAGGTACAATTCCATGTGCTGAATGTGATGTACCAGTGGTACTCTGTATCATTCAAATTAATTTAAAAAAATAAAAGTGAGATTCATGTAAGACTGCAACAGGAAGAAAAAAATTGGAAGAGTGTAGAAGCTGGGTATGGTATTGCACACTTGTAATCCCAGGATTTAGGAGACTGAGGCAGGAGGGTCACCATGAGTTTGAGGAGGCCAGCCTGGCTTATATAGTGAGTTTAAGGCCAGTCTGAAAACACATAGCAAGAACCTGTCTCAAAAAATCAAAAGCAAAAAGAAAATTGAAATCATTTGAAAAAGCTGTATAGAACCCATGCTTTTAGCATCAACTATTCAGCATCATTTTTTAATATTATAAAAGTTTTAAAACCTATCAGATTGATACTTTGAAGATGTATAAACTTTCAGTATAAATATTTTGGTGGTACCAGGGATCGAACTCAGACCTTGCACTTGCCAGGCAAGCACTTATTCCACTAAGCTATCTCTTCAGCCCCTCAGTATAAATATTTTGTATGGTAAATTTGAAGGGGGTTTTGGTGGGTTTCGGGGGGGAGGTTGAGACAGGGTCTTGCTATGTAGCTCAGGTTGGCCTTAGACTCACTGTGTAGCCCAGGGATTACAGGCCTGGGGCACCACACCTGGCATTAGATTTAATTTATGTCTTGTGAATGTCTTTATGTACTTTTTTTGCTAATATTGTAGTATTCCAATTACTGTAACTTGGTAGTAATTTTGAAATCTAGTAGCCCAGGCTGATCTCAAACCCAGTGATCTCCTCCCTCAGCCTCCCGAGTGCTGGGATTACAGTTGTGCACCACCACACCTGGGCTTTATTTTCACATTATTCTTTTTCTTTTTGATTCTATGACATATTAATTCTTGATTTGTAATATTAAAGTCACTGTGCCCTTATAGGGCTTCTCTTGGTTTTAGTTATTTAGATTAAATTCTCTAGATGGGGTCATTAACAGGTGTCTGTAATGCTGGCTATTTGTGCATTTGAGGCCAGCTTGTATAACATAATATGACCCTATTTTTAAAGAAATCTTATTTCCCCACTCCTCATATAAACTGATTTGCTTAGGTATCCTCTAAATATTATTCCTCTAAAAATCCAAATAACAGTCCAGTTAGTGATTTTTTTTTTTTTGGAACCGGCGATTGAACTCAGGCCCTCGAACTTGCCAGGGAAGCACTTACTCTACTGAGCCATTTCCCCAGCCCCCAAGTTAGTAATTATGAAATAAGCTGGAATAATTTTTAATATTTTTTACAAGATTAGTTACTCAACAGAAGTACCATAACTATAGCAGAGCAGTTTGAATGAGTTTTCAGTAAGTCTTCTAGTTTATAATCTGTTTCTTGAGGTACTTGTAACCTCTTTTAGCAAATGGGGTGAGGAGCCCAGTGTACACGTGCAGCAGCTGGACTTGATCTTGCAGAGCTCTGACTGTTTTAATATCATTTCAGGGAACGTTTCATTTGTTGCACTTCCAGTTTCCAGCACCAACTCACCAACAAAGATTTTACCAAAAACCTTAGGACCAATAAATGTGAATGTTGGACCCCAAATGGTAAGAAAATGATCTAATCTTAGAACTGAAAATGTGCTTGGGTACAACCGATTGATGGGATAATTGTACTAGAACTGCTTGGTCAGGTGTCTCAGTTGATCTCAGTTGTTGTAGTCACTTTAAAAAAGCATTTTGTTTTTATCTGACTGTAACTGATACAAGTCCTCAGGAAAGACATTGTGCTCTGAAGTATTTAATTTTCACATCTTTGAATCTGTGGGTTCTTGGGGTTTAATGGTAAGGTTTTTGCTCCTTATTATAGGCTTCTCTTGATTTTAGTTGTTCAAATTTATTTAAATCTGTTACACTTTTTATCTTTTCTCACTTGTGGGCAGGGGTGTTGTATTGAGATAGGATTTTGGTACACAGTACAGCTGGCCTCAAACTCAGTCCTCCTGCCCTGTCCTGCTGAGTGCTGGGATTACACACCTGTCACCAGATGTGGCTTCCTTTTTTCTTCTTAAAACTTTTTCTTCCCTAAAATGTAATCTCCTATAAACTGAATATATGAACTGTATTAATTGGAAAATCTTTTCATTAGGGGACAGTTGGGGGGGAAACAGTACACTAATTCATTCATCTTTAACAGAAATAATGGGTAAGGAATAGTCAAGTGTTTCTCTCAAGGTGTTCATTAATTCTTCCAGAGCATCATTATGTAGCATTTTCAGAAAGCCTTACTTTCTGAAATCCCAGCACTGCGGGAGGCAGAGACAAGAGGACTGCATACCCTCTCAGTCTGGGCATTATAGTGATTGAGTGAGATCTTATCTCAGAATAAAAAAGTTGGGTATTTAGCTCAATGAAAGGCCACAGATTGGGGGCAGAGAGGGACAGAGGGACAGAGAAGGAATGAAGAAAGGAAAGACAGAAAATGTTATTTATAAATGAAGTTGAATTCAGCTGTTGTAAGACTATACCTAATTTAAATAAACTGCATCACCACCAAAAGAAGAGCTTAGACATTTAAAGAATAATTCTTTCTTGTCAGTGTTTATACATTTTCATCTGAGTGCCATAAGAGTGAATTTTGCCCATAATGTACAGTTTTGTGGACTGTGTTTTAAATGCAATTATTTAGATTAAAATATTTTTTAAGAAATTTAATGCTTTCAGGAAGTCTTTATGACTTTCTAGACATGACATTTTTGTTGGTCAGCCGAGGACTGTTAATCATCTGTAGAATTCAAGCTAAAGATAAAACAATTTATTGTAAGTATGTGAAGAATGTAATCTAGTTCCAGCCTCACAGAGACTGAAGTGCAAACAAATGTCCCCCTTTCAAGGTAGCTCAGGGTATATTTTCAAACATTTGCTGAACATTTGCCCTTGCCCCCCACGGGAAGTGTGAATGGATAAGACAGCTGACTGAAGGTCTGTCTCTCTCTCTCTAAAGATATGTAAATATGTAAAGTTAGCTACTTTTTTTGTTTGTTTTGTTTGTTTGGGTTTGGTTTTCTGAGATAGGTCTATACTGTTCAGTCTTGTTTAGAGCTTCCTAAGTATGTAACCCAGGCTGGCCTCAAACTCAGCAGTCCTCCTGCCTCAGTCCTCCTGAGTGCTGGGACCAGGTGTGTGCCACTATGCAGAGCCTCAAAAAACTATAATTTTATAAGCTTTAAAATTAAACACAGAAAAAAAAAGTTAAGCACAGATTTTTGAGTCTGGCCTTTCCAGTACTCCTATTTTGAAAAGACTTTTTTTTAATTGATATTTAAGTTGATGCTGTGACTCATTTAAATTCCTCTTTTGAAAGCGTAAATTTTCTTCCCTTGTCAATTTGAACAAATATGCATGTAAGCCCTTTAGCAGTTAGGCTCTGGCAATGATCAGAGCCATGTATAGTGCTGACTCATTGTAAACCTCAGGTTGTAGGGGCAGGAGGAAGGAGATTTGACCCACCCAAGGCCTTAATTTGTCTCCTACTTTTAAAGTGCTTTGTTTAGTCCTGAGTTCCTGGGCAGAATCCAAACTGTCATAAACCCCATCTGAATGTGTCCCCTTCACTTTCTTTTTTTGTTTTCTTTCTTTCTTTTTTTTTGTTGCAGAACCGGGGATTGAACTCAGGCCCTTGTGCTTGCCAGCCAAGCACTTATTCTACCGAGCAATCTCCCCCGGGGAATCCCCTTCAAATTCCTGTTGAAGCCTAATCCCCATTTGTGATAAAGTGGAGTCTGAGCCCTGGGGCAGTGATTGAGCTCCCACTTGGAATGGCATTCCTTCTCTTGCTGAGGAAGTTGAGCAGCACAGGGCTCTCCTGTCCTTTCTGCCAGCAGCGCGCAGGGCAAGAAGAGTGACCCTTGACCAGGCTAAATCTTGTTCCTTGATCTTTAGCTTCCCATCTTCCGGGACTATGAGAAAAAAATTTCTATTTATAGATTACCTGTTTGTATTCTGTTGTAGTGAACAAGACAGATTGGGCTTGAGAAGAGGGTTGTGGCTCTGACAAACTCCTAGAAGTGTGGAAATGGCTTTAGAACTTCATCCTGGCATAGGCTAGAGCCTCTATTACCCATAAAGGGACCTTAAAGGGCAGTTCCAGGAGGACTGGGAAAGGCTTTTGTGGACCATTTCTGTCTTCATTGTAAGCCTATGAACTGTAATGGCCTTTCCAGTGGATCCCGGTTGAACACAGGGACCGGGTTACTGGAAACTGCAGGAAGGGGCATCCCTGCTACAAAGTGGCAAAAGCCTTGGCCAAATCGTGCTCACATCCTAGTGTTTTCTGGAAGAAAGAATTTAGAGACAATGAAATAACACGTTGGGCAGAAGAAATCTTAAGTGCTAAAAGTGGGGCATTGTTTCTCTTAACTCATTATAGGAAAATTTGAGAAGAGACAAAGAGAATCATAAACAAAATTTATAATTAAAAGGGATGCAGAACTTAAAGATGTGGAGGGCTGACAACACAGCTCAGTGGATTTAGCGCCTTCTTTGGCAAGTGCAGGGACCAGGGTTCAATCCCCAGTGCTGCATGCCATGCCAGCCCTGCTCTTTGGCTCGTTGAGCCAGTGACCGAGTCCAGGTGTGGTGGCCCATGCCTATAATCCCAGCACTGGGGAGGCTGAAAGCAGGAGAATCACTACGAGTCCAAGCTGCATAGTGAGACCCTGTACCAATTACATTAAAAAAAAAAAAGTGGAAAGTTCTCTTCCTGCTCATGTTTTAAAGAATGGAAAGCTCCTCTAGAGGGACCCTGGAGGTAGGGCCAGGTGACCTTTAGATAGACTTGTATGAATGGGTGGGAGCCCATTGCTCCTTATCCAGCTGACAATAGATAAGGAACCAGGAGGCTTCTCATTGTGCTGCCTCACATCACAAACCAAGGAGGCTGCCACTCAGGGGACCTCTGCAGGCTCTGCCTAAAGTCTCTGCTCACCAGCAGCATGGAGGCTGAGGCAGGAAGATCACAAGTTTGAGCCCATCCTGGGCAGTTTAGTGATATAGCAAGACCCTTATCTAAAAAGAAGCTTGGTAGAAGGCCCTAGGTCAAATACCTAGTACTAAAGAGAAGTCTGTACCTGCCATGTTCTTTCACAGCCCTCATGTGTTCCTGAAATGGGCCACATATAACCCATGGCCGTGCCCATATTGCTGCCATCTCCACTAGGGCTGCCTAGCTCTGGAGGCAGGGCTGCTTCTGGCTGAATTTCAAAGACTTTCCAGAAAGCCCCAGCCTCAAGTAGAGAATTACTACAGAGAGGTGGCCACTGTAGTGAAGCTGGGAATGAGTCTGCCTCCAGGACCTCAGGCCCCTAGAGTCATAGGTATGAGACTCCACACAGCTCTACAGTGTGGGCCAAACCTGGGAGTGGGACCCCAGTCCAAGAGGCAGGGCATCAAGTCGATGAAAATTATTCTCAAGCCCTGAGATTTAATGTTTTCTCCACTGGGTTTTCTGTTTGGTCAAGATCTATTGCCCTTTATTTTATAATTTTTTAAAATTTCTCCCTTTTGGAATGAGAATACTTGCCCTCTGTCTCACCTTTGTACTTTGGATGCATTTGGCTTCACAGGTTTACAGCGAGGTTCATTTGCCTTAGGACAAACAGCACTTTTTGAGTCTCATGCATGTCTGGCTTGAATGTGATTTGACCCTTTGAGTTGCTGGGACTTTGCAACATTTGTAGTTATTGGGATGAAATGAATAAAATTTGCATATGAGATAAACAAATTTAGGGGCTTGGTTTGAAGTGTAATGCTATTGTGGGATCTTAAATGAAGGTGAGGCCTGAGGAAAAGTGATTAAGTCCGGAGGGATGAGTGGGGGTTGAGGGTCTTACAGAAGAGGTTGATGGGAACTCCCACCCCATCTACCCTGAGAGGACCAGCTGGAGGGCACCTTCTTGAAAGCAGAGAATCCTCTCCAAACACTGCACCTGCTGCCTCAGGCTTTTCTTTCTTTAGAACAGTGAGCCTTAAATTTATGCTGTTTATAAATTATCTAGGCTGAAGTATTTCATTATAGCATTCTGAATAGACCAAGAAACCCCATTAGAATCATTTTTTGGTTGTCCTCTTGCCTTTTTTTGTTTAGTTTGAGACAGGATCTCACTGTATAACGCGGACTGGCCTGGAACTCAGCAATCCTCCTGTGTCAGCCTCCCAGAGTGCTAGGATTACAGGCGCACAACACAACACTTAGCTCATCACTTTTTAAAAAATTTTTGTTCAGCAGAGAATTTGTGGATAAGGTCACACTCATCTGCTTCTTACAGTCTCATTTCTCTACTTGCTCTTTTAACTTCACATGTCTCTTGAAAGTAAACTCTCAGTGATAGAAATTTCTTTCTTTTCTTTCTTTTTTTTTGACAGATTGCTGTGGTCCCTTTGGACTCTTTTTTTTTTTTTCCCTTGGTACCTGGGACCAAACTCAGGACCTTGCACTTACCAGGCAGGAGCTTATGCCACTGAGCTATCTCCCTGGCTCTGGAATTCAAATATATCATGAAAACATTTTCAGTAGTTACAGAAAGCAGTAATTTTAATTTGAAATCCTTTTAATATGAAATAGATTTATATCATATGATTATATGAGAAATAAAATCATGGCTTTATTTCAGAATATAAAAAGTACTTGCTTTTGATTAAAACCAAAATTTTGTCAAATATTAGAATCTTTTAATATAATACTTAACAATTTTTTTTTTAACCTTCACAATACTTATGTGCTAGGCTTTTCTAACTGTAGATGGCAGTAGTACATAAAATATTTTTATTGAGAGCAGAAAAATCTTTGGAATGCCATTCAACTGCTATATGATTTTCATAACCTAACAGTGGATAGTGTATAGCACCAGATGTTTGCATTTAAATTAGGGTTTCTGGAGGGGTTTTTTTGGGGGGAGGGAGAGGGGATCTCAAAGTTTAGTATGTTTTTACCTCTAATTTTCGTTTGGAATTTGAAAGTTAGATTCCAAAGATATAAATCATGCCTCTAAATTTAAAATTTTTTTTATTTATTTGGTACAGGGTCTTTCTATGCAGTTTGGACTCATAGTGATCCTCCTGTCTCAGCTTCCAGGGCTGGGATTACAGGCATGCGCCACCATGCCCATTTTTGGGGCTGGCATGGCACACCCAGGGTTCCAAGGCTGGCCACAGCATGCTGTACTGGGGATCAAACCTGGGTGTTTGTGCTTGCCAGGCAGGTGCTTAGACTGCCCAGCTATCACACAAGCCCAAAAATAGATTATTTCTTTTAAAATGTATATAACAATTACAAGGCTGGACATGGTGACCTATGCCTATAATCCTTGCACTCAGGAGACTGCATAGTGACAGACTGCCTTAAAAAGACAAAAACAACCCTCTTATATGGACTTAAAATGTTATTGCCATGAGAATTTTCACAACTACATAGAGAAAACCTTTGTGTACCCAGCAATAATCCACACAGCACTGTCTTTTCCCATTAACCCTATTCACTGAGCTTATCCTTTTTGTTATTATTATTTACAAAAATATTTGAAGAGCTGTTACTAGGCTAACAGTTTTTTACAATATTATAAATGTCTTTGGAAAAAATAAAATACCTAAAAAGCAATTTGAAAACATAAGGCTATTTAAAATAGCCTTTTTTTGCTTAATTTCCAAATTGTATTCAGAAATAGAAGTCGGGGCTGGTGAGATGGCTCAGTGGTCTAAAGCACCTACTTAGAATAAGCTAAGCTAAGCAAAGCACCCCCCAGCACCACATGCCAGCCAGCCCCGCCCCCTGGTGGGCTGAGCTGGCCACACACACACACACACACACACACACAAACTAAATGTTAAAAAAAAAGAAGTAGAAGTTAAAGTCAAGATCGTACAAAAATGTTTATCACATTTATAATTCAATAATTATAATTGAGTAATTCAAATCTATATTCTTGATAATGGAAGAATAAAATCATGTGGTAGAATTTTTCTTTTTTAACATGAGGAGGAAGTGTGGCAACATTGATAAAATTGTATCTAAACTAAGCCTGGTGACATACACTTGTAATCCCAACTCTCATGAAGCTGAGGACCAGAGGGTCATCAAGTTAGAGACCAGCCTAGGCTACACAGTGAGCTCAAGATCAGCTTACACTATATAGTGAAATATTTCCAAAAAAAAAAAAAAAAAGAATTGCATTTAATACTTCCACATTGTGTGTGTATATATGTATTTTTTTCCCAAAGATCTGGTTTCTTATTACTCTGATTCTAAATTCTACTGTCTTCTTTAATTTTACTTTTCCTATGATATGGATATTGAACTTAGTCTTTTAGATGTTATGCAAGCCCTGTACTAGTGAAATGTATCCCTAGTCCATTTTTTTGAAAAATGTCTCTCTCCATTGCCCTCTAACTCAACATCCTGCTGCTTCAGCCACCTGAGTCACTGAGATTGCAGGCCTGTACAACCAAACCTAGCTTGTTTGCTTAATTTCAAAGCTTGTATTCTGATTTAAAACATTGTTAGTTACCCACTTAATTGCTATTCAGATACATCCAAATTATTGTTATTCGCTTGTTCTTGTTGGTACCTGCATTGTAACCCATGTCAATATTCAGGCTTGTGCTTTATGATCCTGGTATATTAGAGCTCGGCATGACAGTGCTCAGTTATAATCCCAGTACTCAAGAGGCTGAAGCAGGAGGATCAGAAGTTTGAAGCCAGGGCCAGGGAGATAGCTCAGTGGAATAAGTCTGAGTTTGATCCCTGGTACTACCAAAAAAAAAAAAAGCTTGAGGCTAAGCCCTGTGTAGGACTGTGGCTCAAGTCCCCATTAAAAATATCCTAGAATATAAGTGAATCAAAAGTACTACTTATATTTTACTATTTTTATTATATTTTATATGATTGACAGTACATGCTTTTTAGGCTGTAAAGTTTCCTTATATGCTGGTTAGCAGTCAACACTATCTAGTGAATTCTTTCAAGTTTTTCCAAAATCATCTTGTTCCTCACTTTGCAGATTATAAGCACCCCACAGAGACTCACCAGTTCAGGAAGTGTTCTGATCGGGAGCCCATACACTCCTGCCCCCGCGATGGTCACTCAGACACACATCGCAGAAGCTGCTGGCTGGGTTCCCAGGTAAGAAAGAGTGTTACAATTGCTGTTTCCAAAACTTACAACAAAGTCGTGACCTATTTTCTTTACTATCTTGTTTTATTTCAGCCCAGTTCTTAAAAACTAATGTTTTCCCTTTAAAATAATTTTACTTTATATCTCAAATATAAATTCTCTCTAGTGCCACACCTGCCCACTGTGGCTTTTACACTGAACCGTATCTCCAGCCCTTTGACACAGGGTTTTGCTAAGTTAAGCTACAACTTGGACTCCTCCTGCATCCATCTCCCAGAGCACTGGAATTAACAGACATTTGCCACCATCCCTGGCTACATGCACTTTTACATAGAAAAATAGTACAATAACTTCTGAATCTTCTGACTTTTTAAAACTCTGAATAGGACTATTTGTTATTATTACAACTTTTGTCATTCATTCATTCATTCATTCATTCATTCATTCATTCATCAGTTTGGTACAGGGTCCTCCTATCTCAGCCTCCCTAGCACTGGGATTACAGGCATGGGACACCATGCCTGATTTCAGTGGCCAGCAACATGCGCCTGGAGTTCCAGGGCCCACACAACATGTGGTACTGGGGATTGAACCCGGGTCCTTGCTCTTGCCAGGCAGGTGCTTAGATTGCCAAGCTATCTCCCCAGGCAATTACAATTTTTAGCTACTTTAAAAATAGAAAACTTATTGTTTTAACAGATAAGAAATGCATTATAAAATGTTTACTCAGCAAATTTCCCTATTAGCTCTCATTTCCTTAACAGAAAAGAAACTAGGAAAAAAGAGACCAAATGTATTAAAATTTTCATTAACTTTGCCCTTGTTCTTTGCAACACTTGGCAATTAAATCAATATCCCTTTTGTGTTTCTCAGGTGCTGCTTTTCGTGTCAGACCCTACATTGTTTCATCTTTGTCTATAAAATACCCATGTAGCCTTTTTCCATTTCTTACCATTTTAGCAACTCATCCTTCTGTTAAAAAAAAAGTTAAGATAAATGACTCAAGACCTCCTTGTCACTTTTGAAGTTATTTACATGGTGACACACTGCACTGGGGATTGTGGTGTGCATGTGTTATAGCAAGTACTAAATTTTGGTTAACTGAGAATCTCCTTGCTTCAAGAATACATGAACTAAAGTAGTCCTGAATGAGGGCTTTATTTTACATGCATATTAATACACATATATGCATATACAGATAGCCACATTAGAGAAAGAAGAGTCCATAAAGTCTCATTTAATGCTAAACTGAAACATTATCATCCCTAGTCATTGAACTCACTCTGATTTAATGACTATTGTGTTGTCATGTCTTGTCCTATGACAAAATGAAGTCTTTATATTATGTACCTATCTTTTATATTTTTGTCTTTTGATATATTCAGTATAGAATTAGACAAGTTGTAATAAATTCTTCGTGGATACAGTTGTGTTTATGTGTTATGTTTATGCTATCTTTTTGTCTTTTTAGTGATAGAAAACGGGCTAGAGAATTTATAGAATCTGATTTTTCAGAAAGGTGAGTATGAATGCAAAAATTACTTAGGATTCCACTATGTAGAAAGTGGTTTAAAGTAGTTCCACTTTAATAAGTAATGAGATAACTAACTTCATTTGGTTTCTATTGTTATTCCATTCTTCATCGAATGTTTTAGTTCATTTATAATAATTGTATGGTTTGATAGAAATTATCCTGTGATACTACAGTGTCACTTAATCTTTTTTTGGGAGCTAAAACCTTCTACCATAGATAGTCTATGTTGCTCAGGCCCAAATTTTTCAACAAGTTTTCCTAGCTAGGAATGGTGGCCCATGACTGTAATCCCAGCTCTCAGGAAGCTAAGGCAGGAGGATTGCCATGAATTGAAGGCCAGCTCCAGGCTACCTAAGCAAGTTCAAGCCAGCCTGCACTACATAGTGAGATCCTATCTCAAAAAAAAAAAAAAGAAAAGTAAAAAAGTTCTACTAAAAATATTTATAAGGCCCAGGGAGATAGCTCAGCAACATAAGTGCCTGCCTGGCTAGCACAAGGTCCTGAGTTCTGTCCCCCAATTCCAAATAAAATGAAATAATAAAAATATTAATAGATCATGGTAAACTCTTACTTCTTAAATATTGCATTAGGTATGATACCACCTTTCCTTAAAAGATGGGATATGATCAAAAACATAATGAATGCTTAAATTTTTAAAAAAGTAATAGATAACTCATTGCCATTAACCTCTCTCAAAAGGTATCCCCAACACGCAGCAGTCCATTATTCCTGCCCCTTCCTGAGCCACTCATGAGCATGTAGCTGCACTCTTGTGCCTGCCTCAGTGTCCTGAAGCCGTTCACAGCACTTACTATGCGTGGTCACTTTGATTTTAGAGGAAAGGCTGGAAGCCCCAGTGCCAGCTGTGGTGAATGAGGACCCTGTAAGCTTACCTTCTGGTGGGACAGTGCTCAGTGACAGTGTTCACTCCTCAAGAAGACTTCTAGCATCGCTTCATAAAGTGGCGGAGACACCAGGATAGGTGGGCTCAAAAGTCTGAGGAAGATTAATGGCAGTGTATCTTTCACTTTAATAAATTTTTAAAAATTTAAGCATGGGGAGAGGAGGATAAATAAGAAATGTATGTGCATTTACCAACTCCTCACAACCAGTATAATCATTATGTACCACAAACATGACAACAAAAGCAACTAAAACTAAAATAATACCCAAATTTTAAGTGATTGCTATATATTTTGATCTCACCTGGTAGCAGCACAGTACTTCTCTGTTCTGGTTGTGCATCAGAATCACTCATGATCTCAGTAAAAGTTCCTACCCAAGTCTTTTAGCTCCAGCTCTAAGAATTAGCACCTTGGGACCTGGGTAGGCTCTGCTGTGAGCACTTAATGTGGCACCCCTGAGACAAAGCCCAGGAGTGAGCCCCTCCGGACAGTAAGTGAAGGACATATGTTTCCTTGCATGAAGCAAGTGCTGCTGTTGTTCTTGGTGGCATTTGTTGCTTGCTTCTTGGATCTTAACTATTTTGTGTTTCATTTCATTTTGTTTTTTCAGCACTGGGGATTGAACCCATGGAGCCCTGAAATACATCCTTAGCTTTTTTTAATTTTACTTTTGAGACAGGATCTTATTAAGTGTCCCAAACTGACTTGGAACTTGTAATCCTTCTGCCTCAGCCTGCTAAGTAGCTAGAACTACAGGTGTGCACTCGAAGTTCTTAACTATTTTGAAAAGACAAAGTCACATCTGAAGAATTGTTGTGTTATATAGAAACACATGATGAAATGATTTTTTTCTCTCTGGTAGAAAGTCCTATTTCTAACTCACGTTAGTCTTTCTTGGTGTTATTCTTGGAAAGGGCACCAGAACAGATTCATACAGACTCTTACGATGTATTTAACATGTTTAAATTCTTAAAAATGGAACATTATGGGGCTGGGCATGGTGGTTCACACCTATAATCTCAGCATTCAGGAAGTTGAGGCAGCAGGGTTACCATACATTCAAGGCCACCCTGGACTACAAAGTGAGTTTAAGATCAACCTGAACAGCATAGGTTATCTTAAAAAAACTGAAGGAACTCTTGGAGCTAGAGGCCTAGTTTAGTAGAATAGCACATACATAGCATGCTCTAGCCCTGGACCTAATTTACAGTACCATTTACGTGTACACACAGATAAACTATTCAGTGATTATGAAATACCTGTATACTACAAACAAGATTCTTTTCACTCTCATAAGAGAATCCTGAAGATCACATATAAAAAGTGCTAGATTAAATATATTGGGGTGGGCAGGGTTTGGTGGCTCACACCTATAATCCCAGCACTTGGGAGGCTAAGGCACAAAGACCAAAAGTTTAAGGCTATCTTGGCCTAATAGTGAGATCTGGTCTCCCCAGCAAAAGGGGAGGGGGGTAGTTATTAACTGATTTATTTATCCCTCGTCTGAAATGCTTGGGAACAGAAATGTTTCAGATTTCAGTGTTTTGAATTTTGGCCATTTGTATAGACTTTTCTGGTCCATACAAATTCAGGCATACCTAGTGCCAATGCAAACCACAAACTTGGGCTGGGGCTAGAGCTCAGCAGTAGAGCACTTTCTAGTGTGCAGGAGGACCTGGGTTCAACCCCTAATACCACAAAAAAAGAAAGTAAAACCAAAAATTTCCCAGTGTCATTTTGGTGCTCAAAAACTTTCAGATGTTTGTATTTTGGAATTAGGTATGTGAATCCTAGATAACCATTGATTCAGCTTTCCTTTTCTATATTTAGTTCAGCTTCTCCTTTTTTAATGTCTGTCTTTTATTATTTGACAGGGGTGAGTGTACCAGTGATTGAACCTAAGGCCTTTGTACTGAGCTACATGTCCAGTGCCCCCCTTTTCCCTCAGTCTTTTTTAAAAATTTTGAATCTTGAGACAAGGTGTTGCTAAGTTGCCTGGACTGGGCTCAAATTTGCAATCCTCTTGTCTTAGGCTCCCAGAAAGCTCTGATTACAAGTAGGTGCCACTATGCCTGGCTATTTTTCTTTTAAGTATAACTTTTTTTTTGTGGTTGGCTCAGCCGCCCTCAGGGCTGGACTGGCACAGCATTAGCATGGCATGTGGTGCCAGGGATTGAACATGTCCTTGCACTTTGCCTAAGCTTGCCTAAGCAGGCACTTTAGACCACTGAGCTATCTTGCCAGCCTTGACGTGTAACTTTTCTGTAGTATTTCTTGCCCTCAACCCCAGTGAAACCACGAAGATTACTATGTATTGTTTCCTTTCTATTCCTGTCCTAAATGAATAGTAAGAGTTAATACAGTGGTGTAGCATTCTTTCTTTGTACTCATTTACTGCCTTTTAAATTTAATTTTATTTTTAAAACTAATTTTATTGAGAAACAAATAGCAGTAGGACAGTTTCAATAATTAATACATTGCATATTGTTGTCTTCATAGTGGTTATTCATAGTATAAGATGCAGACATGATATCCAGTCCACAAACACTATTAGAGCAAATCTTCTTATTCATTGAATTAAGAGAAAGTAGCTGTATATCTTTCCTACTATTTTGAATATACAGATTCAAAATGGTCCTTCATTTGTATCCTCTTTTTTTGGTTAGTTTCGTCAGAGAAGGGTAGTCCATTGTCATTTAAATATTGTAGGTGAGTGAATTCAGCAAAATATTCCAATATAGTCCAGTAATCCTTTTTTTAAACCCAGGGCCGGGGCCGGGGAGATGGCTCAGTGGAATAAGTGCTTCCCTGGCAAGCGCAAGGGCCAGAGTTCTAATCCTCGGTGCCGCAAAAAAAAGAAGTTACTAAACCCAGGGCCTTGTGCATACTAAACACAGCTACTCCTCTGCTGAACCATATCCCCAAACCCTTAGTTTAATTATACTTAAAAAGATTCAGTCTTTGTATAATAAACTAATAATTCATAATAAAGTAATTTAGAGTATAATAAGAAACAGTAGTCAAAATCCATGTGCTTAAAACCTGTGTACTGCTTCAGTAATATTTATCAAATCATTCATCCAGAAAATATATTTTGAAAATCTGTAAAGTGTTGGAATATTTTAGGCATTGGAGGTAATAAGAATTAGAGAGAAATCTCTGCCCTAAAGAATTTTATATTGGGAAAAATCAGTAAGCATATAAAATAATTTTTAGATTGTAGTAGATGCTATATAAGAGGTGCTTTGGAGAGTGAAGGATAGTGGTTACCTCACGAAAGCTGTCTCTGAGAAGGTAATGTTGGAATGCAAAGTAACCACAGATGGGAAAGTTAGTCCTTTATATTTTGTCTTTTCTTGGGTCAAGTTAAAAATACAAAATTATTTGATTATTTTGGCGATTAAAAATGTTTCTTGCTAAAAAGAATAAGCATTCTTTTTAGGGCAACCTATTGAGGATCCCTCCTGTCTCTCAGGAGCTATTCCTAGTCTCCATTCTTATTCCCCAATATGTTTTCCTACTCTTAAAAATAAAATGGGGGCCGGGGAGGTGGCTCAGTAGAATAAGCACTTGCCTGGCAAGCACAAGGGACTGAGTTCAATCCCCATTTTTGGGGAAAAAAAAAAAAAAAATGAGAGAGCACGTTTTATAATTGTATGACATCATCTCAAGGGAAAAAAAGAACTTCTTGGTAGAACATAAGTTTAGCACATGTAGGACCCTGAGTTTGATCCCTATTACTGTAAAAAATAAAGTTTTTATTATATACATATTATGTATACTTATCTATAATTCCTTATTGAAATGGAATACGTTTATTATAGCTTTCACCTAGGCTACATTGAATAGTATTACAAATTTTAGTTGTATGTTACCTGTGTAAATAATAAATTGTTATTAGTTGGGCATGATGTGACACACCTGTTATCCTAGCACCTGGGAGACTGAGGAAGGAGGATCGCTGGAGTTCAAGGCCAGTCTTGGCTACATAATGAGTCAAAGGCCAGAAGAACTGCATAGCAAGGCCTTATCTCAAAAGACAAACAAACAAATGAAGGTGGCCGTGGAGAAAGGAGAAAG